TCCAAAAGGATCTTGTCGACTATACTGCCAGGGTCGAGTGGTGACGGCAGTTTAATGAACTAGTGTGGCGCAATATTTTATATAATATAAAATAAATATTAAAATAAACTGTCGAACTTAAGTTTGTGGTACTTTTCAGTTGTTAGCAGCTAATAGCTGAAAGGACAAATCACTTGGGTTAGTAAACATATAAATATTATCAACTATTTTACTGTATATACAGAGATGTAGAAAATAATTTGGGGGACATACACAATACAGACAGATAAGTATGTACATCATTAATATTATTGAACACCATCATAACTTAATATCATTTTCATTGATAAACTTACATAAACAATGGATTAGTTTGTGGGAAAGTGAGTAAAAAGGAAGTGGAAACTGATTGGGAGTGGGATTTAGATACTGGGAAGTTTTTGAAAGTGATCAAAGGATTGGGAGTTTAAGTGGCAAGAAAAAAATATATGTTATTAAAAATATATGAAAAAGTATATATAAGTTCCCTCATCAAGGCCGCATTCGCACAGCAACCTGTCGCGGACACAAATCTTGCTGAGGAATATCGGACTACTACAGAGGTCGAGTCTGAGCCTACACAAGGATGAAACAGTGTAACGGGTAAGCTTAGGGTACTCGGACAACCAAGGCTTCCGTAACTCTGACGCCCACACTCAATTTTGGCTCCTATATAGAGTCAAAAGTGCAACTAGCTACTACACAGGCGTAAGGTTGCAAGTCTTTCGGTTTTCTACCGGATACATTTCGGTGAGTGTGCGGGGGAAATGCACAACTTGATTCCCCCTAGTCCTTTCCATCATCGTACCACAAAACAATCGATGAAGCGCCACCGTTTCATGGTAGATGTTTCGCCCACACGCACGAAGCGCTTCAAGCTTCTTAGTGCGTACTGCTAAAGAGTGGAATTCTTTGCCAGAGTCTGTATTTCCTGAAGGGTTTAACCTGAGAGTCTTCAAGGCCCGAGTGAATAGGTTGCTTATGAGACGACGTGCTCCATCGTAGACCGCATTATCGCTTACTCGAGATAAACTCTCAAGAATCTAGCATTACTTTTGATCGGGATAGCCTGACCGTCTATCTCTATGCAAAGATCCGGAGTGCGTCGTTTGTGTATAAAAATGATAGCTGAGCTTTTTGGGGCGCATAAAAATAACCCGTGATTAGTGGGCGGCGTCTGTTATAAAACTGTTGGTAACCATTAGTGCGATATCGTCAGCATACTGAAGGACATTACAGTTAAAATTTAAACAGGAGGGGAGGCCATATACATAATTATAAAGGATGGGACTAAGGACCGACCCCTGAGGTAAACCTTTCCAGAAGGACCTCTGTACTGGTTTATGTTCAGGAGTTCTCAATTGGAGGGTACGATTGGAGAGGATACAGCCTATAATTCGGCAGATCCTACTCGGGATTCTCAGCTGTTGCAGTTTCTGCTTGAGAAGGAGTAAGAGGACAGAATCGTAGGCCGGTGAGACGTCTAGGAAAACTGCGACCGTGACTCCTGCCTGCTAAGGGGTTGGGTTACGTATGTGAGGGCACATAAACTGTCAGCCATATCCAGACCTTTCCTAAAGCCGTAGAAAAAATTAAATCCATGTCGAAGCTTAATGTCAAAGTCAAGATTATTTTGTTTTAGTCTAAAGTTAACGTAAATAAAAACTTACCGTGAAAGGTTATTCCAGATATTTTTTTATAGCTATTGCTGTTACATCGGTACGCACTGCACTTCACCATTTTATTTTAGCATTTTGATACATTTACTCATTTAAACAATTAATATTTTCTTATAAAATGAGGCACAGTTGTACGTAAAAGCTTATCAATATGGCGGCACGGAAATCTGGCTTTTTGTCGAAATTTGTCTCTGTGTGAAGCAGTGTGGCTACAGGTAAAAGAACGAGACGCCGTTACTAGGTTGGTGTTTGACAGAATCTATTGAAGTCTGTGTGTAGGTCAATAGAATTCCAAAGACATTTAAACAAATTATTTTGAATAATTGCGCAATTTTCTAATGTCTGGTAACGTAGTAACCCATCACGCACGCACACATAAATACAACGGTGACATTTGGTGCTTCAATCATATCGTCTATGATCATATCTGAGTGACATAGCATCCGCTTATTTTTCAACGTCCTTGTGGTGCAGGCGCTCGCGTCATATGGAGTTGAGTGTGCAAAATGTGACCGGGGCCTCATTCTATAAATTGTTTTGAGCTGAGAAAAGCTGGCAGAATATGTGTTTGGACGTGCCACGAGATTTGTTGGTCTATTTTTTACCTCACCCCCTTAGATATAAGTAAATGGACTGAACAAGTATGTTTTTTCTGATGATAAAAGATACTTCAAACTGTTTGTATGTTTTAATAACAAGTATCGTGAGACATACTAAATTAACTAAAAATCGCGGGTTACTCACGTGAATATACTGATAAAAACAGTACTAGTTTCGAACCACAGACCTTATTAAACCATATGAAGTGAGCCGCATCCCTACCGCAAACATGTTCAGCCACTGCCGATGCTTGGATATCCATCTTCTTGCTGCTAAGATGCTGAACTGGGACATGAACATGTATCCATCAGTTCCTACTAATAGAACATGACTTATTTGTACATGTCACTTGTTTTTTGGCGAGAAAGAATGTTCTTTCCTTTCTTTCTTTATGCTGCGTGTATGTTGCTTTAGCCTGGTTGTGATGATGCGACGAGCTTCTCCGATGTAACTCGAGCTACATTCGCACGGTATTTTGTACACTCCGGGCACAGCTAGCGGAGCTTCATCTTTAGGTGAACGTAGTAGTTGTCTTAGCTAACCGCATGGACGGAAGATCGTCCTATTTTTTTAAGGGGTTAAAATCATCGGATGACTTCTCCCGCCTGGGTGAGGCGGGAGGGAGTGGCAGACTCTTACTGACTAAAAACCACCCCGTTCCTACTCTTGCACTTTGTGTGTGAGTGTCCTTTGCGACAGCTGGGTTGTGAGGAGGAGACGCTTCGCTGCCTCATGCGCCCCGCCTCCTCCATGACTGCTTCGCAATAGGAGGAGGAGGCATCCCAGTCCCCCTCGCTCCGCATCATGACCCAGACTAGGGCCGGAAGCGAAAGGTCGCCGTCGTAGATCACATTCCTGAGGGCACGGCAAGAACACAGTAGGAGAATGCCCTTAGCAACAGCAGCAACAGAGTAGAAAACACGGGTTTTCCACTGTGTTCTCAAGGTGGATCAGACACAGATGCCTCCCGAAGGTCCCATGTTCGGTGAGGACCTGCGTCAGGCAGTATGTGAGGACGCCGTAGCGTCTTTTAAGCCGTCGCGGAGAACCTAACGGGTAACCGGGGCTCCGGCTCGACGTGCAGGAGAAGGAACGGGGTGGTTTTTAGTTAGTAAGAGTCTGACACTCCCTCCCGCCTCACCCAGGCGGGAGCAGTCATTTGATGATTTCCCCCCTTAAAAAAAAGCGTCTTTTAAGCCACTCCCCAAAGATGGGACTTACCCGAGCCCAGGAAGATCGTCCTGATGCAGTATTTACGGCGCAGCAGTTGTCCGATTCTGTCAGTTACTCCTTCCACGTATGGTAAGAAAGAACGCTGGAGTCCGTTCCGTAAATGCCGGTCGCTTCCTACTCGAGATGTTCGCTAGTCGAGTACATTGACGCTCGTTGTATCCATTGTTTTCCAGTATCCGTTTTAAATTGTTAAATTCGTCGTCAATGGGTCTTAGTGGCCAGTTTGACTTGTAGATTTTGGGCAACCCAGGTACAAGTATATCTTTGGTGGTGTTGGGTTTTGAGGGCGCAGACGTGCCACCAGTTCTTTGTCACTAAGGCCTTGCAGTAACTTAATGGTTTTCGTAGTTACCTTCGCTGTCGTATCATACGATACTTTCTTATATATTGTGGTGTCACTTAGAATTTTCGTAATTTTATGCTCATACGCTTCAGGTCGACCACTACAGTCGCATTGCCTTTGTCCGCTGGTAGCACTAGGATTTCCAAATCATTACGCAAATCATGGAGTGCCGACATTTCCTTCACCGGTATGTTAGATTTAGATGGCGGTGATTTACGCAATAAGGACGACACATCTTGCCGTAGGCATTCGGCGTCACTGCGAGGTATCTTATTCTGGAAGATTGAATTGTCGATGTTTGTTATGATATTCTCCATAGGTAATTTCCAAGGTCGGCACCTTATTTATTATACCTACTTGGCGCGTAATTTAATCCTCGGGTAAGCACATTCACGGCATCAGCTGACAGTTGTTTCGATGATAAATTGACAAGCGTGTTTCACCCATTGCCTTTGTTCGGCAATTTATGTTTATATTGCGGGCACTTGCAAGTTTGTATAAGGTTTGTCATACGTATTGTACATACGTCATCGTATCCAGAATCCTCCATAATTCGGCATCCAACATCCACGATTATTGTAGGTGTAGCTCGTATATATTATATCGTTGTTGATGAACACTGACTTTCACTGGTAGTCGGATATTGCGCGACACAGTAATTCAGTCTGGAGTGTAACACAGTAAGCGTTATATGTAACACTGACTTTGTGCCGAATCGAACCCACTACCCACGCCACTGGTAAGAGTACCGAGCGCTTAAACATCGTTGCACGCGCTGCCGCCGGAGTTGGAAGCAAACGCGCGTGATGTCCAGCACAGGGCAAGGTGGGCTCGTAGCGTAAGTTATCAACACTGATGCAAGCGCCAACGATAAAGAAGAGAAGAATAAAAAAGTTTCACTTGCTGATTGACGTGGGTGATGTGAGGTGTACGTTTGTGTTACGGTTGAAAAAAAATTTTTTTTTATTATATTTTGAGTTTGGTTTCAAGTCATAAAAATATTGTTAATTAATATTACATTCGGTATTTTCATTATTATTTATATAGTCGAGTTTGCTATCCCTTGATCCGTACATCACTACTCGTTATCTTTTGTCATTTTAACTGTCACTTTTTGTAACTTCATATCATTTATTGTTGATGACGGGGAGCTGTGTGTGGATACTGTACACTGTATCTTGTGTTTTTCCTGTGACTGTAATTATTTTGTGGCTTACAAGGAGATAAATGTCGTTTATAAGTGTTACAATAGGCTATTTATTCTAATACCTAAAAGTGCTCGTGATTTTTCTGTGCTAGTGAGTAACGTAAGAATCTATTAATAGTTTTTTTTTTTCATCAAATGCCTATAGTGAAATTTAGAATTAGTGTAGTTATGATCGATATATAATTTCGAAGTGGCGGCCAACGAGATGGGGCAAAGTCAAAGCTCTGTGTTGAGCAAGAGCGGCCGAAGGAGCTCGTTCCGGAGGTTCGTCCGTCGGAGCAAACTAAACAAATCCAGTTTGAGTCACACATTCAATTTGCCGCCATCCGACGACTATCCGGAGCTGATGAACGTGAACACGGCGACGGAGGAGCAGCTGATGACACTGCCTGGCGTGAACAGGCAGTTGGCGCGGGAAATAGTGAGGCATCGGCAAATGATAGGTCGATTCAAACGAGTAGACGACCTCGCTCTTGTTTCAGGTAAATAAAAGGCGACCTCCTCGAGAGCTATCCAGCTTTATTTTTGGTTTTTATATAATAAAATATAATTACTTAGTGTTATCAACATAATTAATATTATAACTAATGTTGTAGTTCTAATTTTTAACGAGTTAATTCAATGATGAGTAGGGCTACTTACAAGTGTGTCAAGGCATCAGTTCATGCATTAATAATTAGTACTTTTAACACACTATTGCTTTGGTAATTATCTGTAAATACAAGTCTTATTTCATGAAAATATTGAACTAAGCAGAGGCTGAGTGCACTCACATTATCCATTTAAAATGAAGGTACAGCTTTATAAAGTATACCAAACAGAAGTTGTAGGAACTATACATGCTAGATAATTTTTATTTTAACTTTTTCAGTAACTACATACTGAAAAGCAGTTGGGTTAGGACATATGTATTGAATGCAGTTTGTCACACACTACCTCTGCTCATTAAGATTTAGGCCCTTAAACTGTCAAACACTGAGCCGTCACCGGAGACCGCAACTTATTGTTCTTTAATTGTGTCCAATAATGACGGTACTCAAAGAGTTAATACTATTATCAATAATTTTATGTACTTAATAAAGGCTAAGGTACATTTTACTGAAAATAATTATAAAATTAAAATAGGTACTACTGTTGCAGACTTAATAATATAATTATTCTAAAACTATATAATTTACTTATACCAATATCTGAAATACCAACCTTAATTTTCTGCTTATAGGAACAGTCCTTGAAACTAGGAAATATATAACCAACAGTTTAAAAGTAGTTTAACTGCTCAATCCCCATGCAGTCACCGGTGACTGCTCTCCACTGATTCCATTATAGACCTTATTTTCGATATTTAGAGGCTAGTTTTGTATTATGAACAAGTTTAGGGGATGATTTTCAACAGGTTAAATTGTTAAACTTGGTAACCAAATACTGCTCTACAAAACATTTTGATCCATTTATAAAAGAAAGCTGTGATATTTATATTAAAACTCTCATGAGACATATTAAATGAATTACTTTGTTTTGATCACGGAATGCGGCTTGAAACTTGTCAAGTTCCTCATCAAACAGTAATATGAGCAAGCCCAAAACAATAATTAATCCTGTGCTATTGATATAGCAATAGACTTTATTCGATTAACATATAGTTATCAACGACAGGGACGAGATAATATAGTAATTAGGTATCTGCGAGATATACTATCTGCTTCTATCTTGTGTCAGATCTAAATAATCTCATAAGATTGCAGTTTTTTCTTTTAATAACCCATTATGTTACGTTTGGTGTACTACTATTGAACAAATTAATAGTTAACAATTTAACCAGTAGTCATTTGCATAGTACATAATTGTAAAAAAAAAGATAATAATCATTGTAAACATTGATGTCTGTCGATGCAGCGAAAGAGATATGTAGGAATCGTAGTAATTGGCATTCCCTAGTCTTTGCCTACCCCATGGGAGACAGGCGTGAAGTTTTGTATGTATGTGTAATTGTAATCATATTTTAAATTTACTCTTAACCTCTTGTCTGCTGGTATATGAGATATAAAATAGAATTCACATTGTATGTAGCATAGATCTGCATTCAAGTACAGAAGGAGTTATTGCAAATGATAGTAATTGGCAGAACTTCTTCGTGTTGGGTACGAATATGATTAGTTTATGCATGAAAATAGCAACTTTTATTGTTTCAAGAGTTCACTATATTATGATTAACTAAGTTAGTGACTTAGGTTAATTAATAATCAAAACGTGTGTACATAGTTACTATTTTATGCTTGGCTTTATGTCTAACAAGAATGAAGAACTCCATTTTAGATTCTGGTACTGTAATTTTTATTGACATTACCGGGGCCGTTTATAGCCAGTATAGTGTGTGTGCTACTAATATTGTAATGTTAGATTACAATATTCAGATATTTTTGAATAGTGTGAATATTTTTGATTCCGAGAACATTTATTTGTAACCCAACTGCAAACATATAAATATTATTTCATTTCATTAAACAATTAAATTGCTGCAATTTGTTATTGAGTAAATGATTTTCTTTTATTATATTATTGATTGCTTAGGAACGAGATAAATGTTTTAAATTATTTAAATACAAGTTTTTACTCGTCGAGTACCGTCATTATAGACACAATTATAGAACAATAGGTTGCGGTCACCGGTGACCACTTGGTGTTTGACAGTTTAATCATGCTTACATGATGTGATTCAGTTAAATAGTCTAAGTCTTTACATCATTACATTTGTTGTTATACAACAAAAAAAGTACTTAACATAGGTCTAAATTAAAATAAAACTAAGCATAATAAATCTTTAAATAATCCTGAGTTTTCCTTTCAGGTATAGGTGCTGATAAACTAGAATTACTAAGGCCAGAGATATGCACAAATATAAGAAAACAAATATCTAGAGCAAGTTCACTGACACAATCTTTAGACAGCGTAAGGATACAGTCTGAGAGCAAACTGTGTTCTGTAAACTCATCAAGTGTATTCCAGTTACAATGTGTACCGGGACTCAACCAAGAAATAGCCGCAAACATAGTAGACTACCGTAACAAAAAAGGCCCTTTTAAGTCATTAGATGATTTAATTAAAGTACGAGGAATGGATATTGTGAGACTGAGTGCGGTCAAACCTCACCTTAGTTTGGAATCAAGGAAGTGTGAAAGTGTGCAACATTTAACAAATGGACATGTTAATGGTTGGAACGAAGTGGAGAGTATGCCCAACGGAGTCTCGAGTACTCCTAAAACTAAAACACCACCACATAGAAAGAGTTTATCAATGCCGAATAATACTAAGTATCCAATGACATTGCCAAATGGTTTTGCAACGGTACCTGTGAATGATATTTTGGACTTGCTATCTGCATACTCACATAGGCCTATTGTAGAAGAGAACTTCATGTATGAGCGAGACGGTGTTAGATGTTGTCGACTTGCGTCGTGGAATCTTCATGAGCTCAGTGTGGAGAAGATAACGAACCCTGGTGTGAGGGAAGTCGTCTGCAGGACTATTTTGGAAAATAAGTAAGTAGTTATTTTTATGACGTTGGACCCACATTAGACTCCTCACTAGTTCTGTTTAAGTCTCCATTCCTACACAATATAATCGAAGTTATCTATAGCATAACATGACATCACGCCTTTTTATCCCCGAAGGGGTAGGTAGAAGTGCCATTACGGCACTTAATGCCACTGTATAATGTAACACCCACTTTTTACTATTATGTTATGAGTCTCATGAGAGTGAGCCTATTGCCATATACCGGGCACATTTCCCGAGTCCGTGCTACTACTGAGATTTTTAAAAACCCAGTAATACTTTGCCCGACCCGGGAATCGAACCCGAGACCCCTTGCCCGGCAGTCGCAATTCCGACCACTCGGCCAACGAGGCAGTCTATCACCGTCCAACCATGTAAGATTTTTAAGACACACCTTTTATGATATTAATTGATTTCAATTGTACATTGATGTTACCTTATTTCTTCTGGAACAGAAAAGAAGTTGAAACGTTTTTATTATTCCATTCGCCTCGTGAAGTATATAATATAATTATGTGTAGCAGTCCCACCTCAATGTTATAAGTATTTCTTCCCACATTTGGTTTAGAATGAAACCAACATTGTTGTGTCAATGTTTTGATTTACAATCGTTATTGTAAATATTTTCATAGCCTTTTGTATAAAATCACTAATAACTTCACATGCCAAGTATAAAAATAATTAAAGCAATTAATATTGATAGTAATATTTTTTTATATAACATATTTATGACGTCTAGTGCTCCATTAAGTGATTTAAAGAAGTTCAGTATGAGCACAGTCTTTAACACTAATTTAGGGCTCCGACTCGACGTGCAGAAGAAGGAACGGGGTGGTTTTTAGTCAGTAAGAGTCTGACACTCCCTCCCGCCTCACCCAGGCGGGAGCAGTCATTCGATGATTTACCCCCTTAAAAAAAGGCGGTTTATTAGGAATGTTCAGTTCCTGGTGCCTGGTGTTTCATAATAAGCTCCCTTCGTATTAAAATGGTTCTAATAATGTAACTGTCCGTATCCTAACTTCAAGAAAGATACCTATTACCAGTAATTATTAGGGTAGTTCAGAAGAAATGTAACAAAATTCAACACAAACCGAAAATATACTATTTTACTCATGCAATTGGTATGTGACAGTGATATACATTAATGTAGAATACCTATTTAACTGCAGGCTTATTTCTCCATACCTTATCAATGGCGAAAACACAAGTATACGGCTAAAGGCCGTATTAATTTTATGTACGTCATGAAAATTATATATTTTTTACGAGGTCGGCTCTTATGTATCGTAGCGTGATGTTCTATAGCTTATAGCCATCCTCGATAAATGGATTATTCAACACAAAAAATATAAAAACGAGGTACATAGGCCCCACATATTCCAACTGGAATTTCTTCCTATTGGCCTGTGGCAGGAAAAGAAATAAAGACATTATTAGTATAGATTCGATCTCGTTGGGAATTAAAACTCAATTGGAAATCTATGGAAAATCAAACATAAAGAAGACCTAAAAGTAATATGTCAAATATATTTTGACGTTTTCGAAATAACATAGCTGTCAATTTCAAACTAAATGCCTAGTAGTACGAGATCCGGCTGCAGAATCAGTGTACCAATCGAGTGTTTGCTGAAAACCAAATTTTTACATATATTCATGATTAGGAGAATTTATATCCACCAGGTTGCCTATCAAAATGTGGCCGCTAGTATTTTTAATAAATTATTAATAATTCATAATCCGTAAGAAATTTCATTGACTTTTTTTTTCAATGAAATGTCGTCTACTTTACGGCAACATCTATAAAGACTCTGAAAAATTATGGTTGCCGTTGCGCACCTGGCCGCACCTCTTCGCAGCCAGGTATACACAGGTATGAATTTGTTACATTTATACACCCACAACGTACATTTATAATTTATATATCAAATTAAAGCAAATTTTTTTCTGTATATTATTATATACGGTTGCTTAATTAAATCTGGCCGCCAATAAGGGTTGCTGGCTAATAAATATAGTAAATATTAAAAGTAGAGTGAAAGAGAGCTAGCGCGTAACACCACTAGTCAGACGAGGATAGCGATTGCCAGCTGTCGGACGGTTTAAAGCCATTGCGCATGCGTCAGATGTTAGTGTTCTCAACGGATCAGTTGTGATTTTTATTTTAAGTTCGAAACCACGCTGTTTGGAGTACGTAATACACAACATAATATATTGCTGTTTTATTTGTGCATCGAAAAATTATTAATCTCATTTAAGTGAAATAAAATTTATAAGGATGAAGGCGTGTTTCCTGTGCGACAAAAAATGCAATGTACTAGACTTTGATAATGCTTCATTCAAAAAGTGTTCTCTAATGTTATTGTTTCGTCGCAAGAAAAAATATAAATATCATGACATTTTATTAAAAAAGAGTCATGGAAGTATAATACAAATATAATACATTTTAAAAATTTATAATTTGCTTAAACTGGTGATTGATGTATATGTAAAATAAATGTAATTAAATCTTTTTTCATGCAGTACTTGTACAACACAATTTTTTTACATAAGTAACCTTGATTTTATTTATCATCAATATTCATTTTTTTTGTAATTTTTAAATTTGTCATTGACTTTTTAATTTTTTATTTTAGAAAAGAAAGACGTTTCTTTTGGAGTATTTATTATTTTGAGTCGTACCTAGTGACTAGTGGTGTTACGCGCTAGCTCTCTTTCACTCTACTTTTAATATTTACTATATTTATTAGCCAGCAACCCTTATTGGCGGCCAGATTTAATTAAGCAACCGTATATAATAATATACAGAAAAAAATTTGCTTTAATTTGATATATAAATTATAAATGTACGTTGTGGGTGTATAAATGTAACAAATTCATACCTGTGTATACCTGGCTGCGAAGAGGTGCGGCCAGGTGCGCAACGGCAACCATAATTTTTCAGAGTCTTTATAGATGTTGCCGTAAAGTAGACGACATTTCATTGAAAAAAAAAGTCAATGAAATTTCTTACGGATTATGAATTATTAATAATTTAATTAAAAATACTAGCGGCCACATTTTGATAGGCAACCTAGTGAATATAAATTCTCCTAATCATGAATATATGTAAAAATTTGGTTTTCAGCAAACACTCGATGGGTACACTGATTCTGCAGCCGGATCTTAGACTATAGGTAATATAAATATAGCAATTTCTGTCATTCAGTCACCTCGGACTTCATATTCTATTCTATAGGTAGTTAAACAATTATGGACATATTTCCCTGTCATTATAACACCACAACCTATTATTTATGCGTTTCCTGTCACCGTAGCATAACTGTCAATCCTTTTGACAGTTAGCACCACATTATTATCAGAATAACTATGTAATAAGAATAATTAAGCGACAAAATTGAATTGGAGAATCGGTTATGGTAACCGAGTTAAGAAAAAAAAAAAAGAATAATTGATGATCTGCCTCAACTATTTATCCGTAAATTTATTTACAGTCGAAATTAATAACCCAATGCTATATGAACTCCCACATTCCGCGCGCGCCTCAAAGAGCCGTCAGACCACCACGGATGAGGCCCATTAGGGCTGATGTCGATGCGGAGCCGCGGAGAACGTAATAGGTTTCCGGGGCTCCGGTAAGTGCAGGAGTAGGAACGGGGTGGTTTTTAGTCAGTAAGAGTCTGACACTCCCCCTCACCCAAGCGGCAGAAGTCAATCGATAATTTTCACCCTTAAAAAAACTCACTTTGAAATCTACGGATCACTGTCGATTTGTGACAGAAACTCCATGCAACTGATGTCAAAAATCAATCTTACTGCGCAGATTTTTTTAATATATATAGGCATTATTTTTGGTCGTTAGAAGATATCATTACACTACGAACTACTCTGTTGTGTGAAGCTTGTGTCAAAATTGTACTCACCAAAGGATAGGATATTGAACGCTAACATAAACGGTTGTGAAACAACAATTCCGGGTTCGTCGTGTGAGTGGTGTTACCAGAGGCCCGATCTCCCCCTCATCTTCCAACTCCCACCCCCATACTCTATCCCCATCCCCCATCCGCCATCCCTAATCCTATAAAGGCTAACAACGCACTCAATAACTCCTCTAACGTTGAGAGTGGTCATGGGCGGCACCGATTGCTTATTATCAGGTGATCAAACTGCTCGTTTGTCGTCCTTTAGGTACAGTGGCCAACAGTCTACATTGGATTTTCGACTTAATGTCAATACTTACAATAAAGTTGAAGATGTAATAAAGAAATTTAACAGAAAAGAATAGGTCGACTTGCTGGCCATCGTACCATAAAAATCACCAATAATTATACTACTTTCATTCTAATTATCCTTTTTTTCCACCAGGTTATCGTTAATAGCCGTACAAGACGTATTAGAAGAGGCCGCGTTGAAGATCATCTGTGATGAATTAAATACCCCCGTTTTAAGGAGGATCAGAGAATGGAGGTGTAATAGCCAACGGTGGCAGTACTGCTTGTCTGAACGAATAGAAAGGTAAGTCATGGCTTCAATACATATTTGACTGTAAGACCTTCCCCCCTCAAAATGCTAATATTTAAAAGGCCGGCAACCCATTTTTTTTTGTAACTTATTTAATGTTACAAGTGTCCATGGGTGGCGTCGATTGCTTAACATCAGGTGACCCGTTTGCTTGTTTGCCGCCCAATGTCATTAAAAATGAATAGTTATCATCAACAGGCCATTAATTACATCAATAGTCTATTTCTTGGTTATGCGGCTCCCTCTACCATAATGTAAGTTCGGCAGTCAGTCGCGATCACAGATGCTATTCGGTCTCTGTCGAATATGTATGTCTATCCATTCGTCGCGGAGAACCTAACGGGTAACCGGGGCTCCGACTCGACGTGCAGGAGAAGGAACGGGGTGGTTATTAGTCAGTAAGAGTCTGACACTCCCTCCCGCCTCACCCAGGCGGGAGCAGTCATTCGATGATTTTCCCCCTTAAAAAAAAAATGTCTATCCATTCGTCGGGCATTGGGACACCCACGGAAGCAGCAGGGGTGGTGGAAAAATAGCATAGATACTAAATTAACTGAAGGGGTTCTTTTTCTTGAGCAGCCTGCGCTACATCGCCGAGACCGTGACGCTGCTCATGAGGAAGAATCCCTCTGTGGTTCGAAACTAGTAGAGCTTTCAGTATTTTCACGTTAGTTACCTGCGATTTTTAGTTAATTTAGTATGAATCACGATAGTTGTTTTAAAAAGCATAGATACTATTGTACATCCAACAACATCGTAATAATCGTAAAATAGTTTTAGAATCGATTTGCTTACAAATACAGACATAACTAATTCAAATGAAATTGATTCACTTGCGACTCGATTCCAAACTGGCAAATTACTACAAAATGTTTTCGACTTTATTACTTAACGTTAAGGTTGAAAATCTTACAGATTTTTTTCCGATTCAGTATACCTTGATGTGCACATGACAGGGTAAAGGTAAAGCGCTTTAAAATCGTTCGCGTGATCGTATTGTAGGGACAATACGTCATTGAAAAACACGTGTTGTGAAGTATTTGAATGATAACAAATATAATCGATATGTTTTACAAGTGTTGGTAGCGATTAGATTGCGTATTTTATAAATCTAGCTCGCTTAGAGGTTGAGATTCGACCGATTTTTGATAAGAAATACTTAGAGACTAATTATAGTTTTTGGCCATAGATTTACATTGCATCAAACCTGATGAGCGTACTGAAAGAAAAAGAAATGGCCATGTTTAAACATAACCTTTCCTCTATTTTCAATTTCTTGCAGAAATTACGCTTTGTACATGACAGAAGTCCTAGCTACCGGTTCGCTTAAGCGATGTCACGCTACCAAGCTACGCAGGCGTGGGTAGCACGAAGCTTTTTTATTTAATAGCTTGGCGACATGCAAATGAATTAACATAATGTTACGACAGGCTTAGATTGCAGTTCGCCGAACTTTTCAGCTATTATTCTCATAGTTGACTAATGCCTGCGAGGTTGCGACGATACCTGCACAAAAACTATCTAGTCAACAATTTCATGTATCAAAGTTTGTAACTAAGAGATTAACACTGTAACGGATACAACCTTACATTTATATTATAATACTTTAAATTTACTGATAAATGTAGTATCATAGTGGTCATCATTATCAGCTACAAGATGTCCACTGCTGAACATAGGCCTTCCTCAGTGACTTCCAGATCGTCCGATTTATCAGGTCGTCTGTCCACCTGTGAGTGAATGCCGCAGAAATGTGTAGTATAAAATATAATTACTTGCATTTATAGATTAACCATAACTACTGAATGAGTTCCTGCACAATAGGGTAGATGCCTAATTTTTATTTTAATGTCCGTCTGGTAGATTATTTTAAATCATTACACACGTATTTTTTATTTTCTTACAGAAACGAATACTTTCGATGATATATTGATGTGAAATGTCACGTGACATCACTTCCATGCCCATTTTATGCGTAGAAATGACGTTTTAGCCCCCACTTCTAAGCTTTGATTCGTTTTATCTAAGTATTGTTTTATTATACGACAAAATAAAAAATACATCTCTAATATTCATTTCATTCATTTTCATTACCTAACTTACGGACTAATTATATTTTTAATTTTCATACCCTGTCATCATCCCAATTAGGTACTAGGTATATTCCCCGGTTTCGTATCATCAGATATTCTTCCATAATTGGCTCATAAAAGCCTTTTCCAGTAACAATCATTTCACGATACTATGAACAGAATGTTCCACATTCCTCAAGGTCACAGCTAAAGTGTTGGAAAATGCGGTGAACCGCACACCCCTTCCCCTAACGAGGTTGCTCAATGTCACCTTAATAGGAACACACTTGTTGCATACTAAACTAAGCCGTAACACTAAATAGTAGTAATTTATTCAATGTTAACGTATACCTTTGAAATCTAGGTATTTTTTCTTTGTGAAAGTTAGAAGAAATTGTCTTTCCAACTCCTCTCTTTCTTCTCTCCCTAATAATGACAGATTACTCTTCGCAAGGATGTAGTAATAGCTGAATAAAGGACTATATGTTTGACGGGCACTGGGCAGCAGCACTCTCTGAAACCTGAATCCCTTAACTACGTTTTCCAACCTGCCTCCTAAGTACCTAAGGAGATTTTGGTAAACCCTCCTATGAAGAGTGATGCATCCCATACTCCATCAGTTGACTATCGTTGGTTGTTGATATTGATCTTTTCTTTTAATATGTATGCATATGTTACAAGATACTTATATATGATATCCTATAAGTACCTTTGTCTTCGAAGCAATTTCTATGTTTTCAACAACTTCCGTCGATATTTATTTATACAGAAATGTTAAAAAAAACATAACATAACATAACATCACGCCTTTTATCCCCGAAGGGGTAGGCAGAGGTGCACATTATGCCACTGTACAATGTAACACCCACTTTTCACTATTTATGTCATGAGTCCCATGTAATAGGGGGTGAGCCTATTGCCATATACCGGGCACAATTCCAGACTCCGTGCTACTACTGAGAATTTTGTAAAAACCCAGTAATACTTTGCCCGACCCGGGAATCGAACCCGAGACCCCTTGCCCGGCAGTCGCACTTGCGACCACTCGGCCAACGAGGCAGTCAGAAAAAAAAAACTTTGTCATTATTTTAAATTGAGGGCGTTACAACCATTTCTCCTTGATGACGAGGACGATGAGCTCTTAAAGTTGTAAAACCAGATATTTAACTACCGTTACCTACGTTAGACAGGATGCTTTGTACATAACCGACCCGTGCCACACTGCATATTTACATTGTCGGAAGTTTGATTATGGGTGGCGATAAAATGCCCAATACTTGCATGTCTTGCATACAATGTTAATAAACCTGATAAGTACGTCCTTATCTTAACGTGGCGCATGCTGACCTTGAGCATAAAACCTGGGCAATGTGAACATGTTACAACATATGGAAACGTGAATCGAAGGTGGTTTGTTTTACCACGTAATAAAAGTCCAAAAAGCGATAGTGTGGCCGAAAATCTCAATAACTCCAGAAGTAAGTCGGTAAACTACATATAGACGGAATACAAAAAAATCTACTCAGCCTCAACAAAGTTAGCATACATTAAATCGTAGAGCTATAAAAAGTTAACAATACAATGATTGTTCATGGCAATAACGTTACGTAGCGTCGCTCGGAGCGAGTCTAATCGGCGGCGTCACGTGTACTGCCACGACCACGACCTGAGCTAGTGTCTGATATGTTGTGATCACCCAGAACTAATTTCACTGGCAGACAGGCATTTCAAAAGTGCCTATTTTAAAGATTATTGGTAATAATTGTTTTGACTTTGATCATGCCAGTGCTGTGTGGCATTACACATTTGTCACTGCCCTTCTTGTGGCCGTCGTAAAAGAAGACTAAAAACTGCGCATTTAATAAAGGCCGGGTAGCAACACCCATGGATAAACCTGATACTGAACTGCGATCTCTAATGAAACCTTCTTGTATGCAAACTCCTCATCCATAGAGGAGGTCCATAATCCAGCGTTAGATAGTCACAGGCTGTTGATATAACGTTGTAATCCTGATCTAGTCCAGTCCAATATCACATGAATATGATCGGTGACTGCGGATGTTATGAGACTTTGAGGAATTCTATAAGAAACAATTCTCATAATTGTCTAGCTCGTTCCAGTTCTATATAACCGCTTTTACGATAAAACTTTTGTTTTGTTATACTAACATTGAATGTCATTTTAATTCTAAATTCAGCTGCCTGTAAAACTAGTATATTACCCCTTAATCGGGCACAGGGAATTCTTATCCCACCATGTTCTAGTCTATTAAAATGTATTGACGTAATCGGGCAAAGGGAAATAATTTCCCACACAAAAAAATCCTTTTCATTTCAGTTTCAGTAATTTATATTGTTTTTTATGTACACTGCTATCTAACATAATACAAGAACTTACACTTAAACCATGAAAAGAATTTTTTTTTGTTCGGCCCGATTAAGGGTTACTAATAATATAACTAGAAAACCAGATCGTATTCTCCATTGAGAAACCCAATTCCTGAATGAAATTCCATGAAACTATTACGATACCAACAATAACATTTCTATTCTTAGTTTCTCAGTAAAACCAGACGTGAAATTACGAATATCTTCGCACATCTGTTCTATCTAGTTATTTAAAAGGTCGCAAACTGGACTAGTCTCATATGTGATTCTTAAAACCCGAAAAGTATGCTTAGGATTTAAATTTTTGATGACTCTGTCATAAGTGGCATGCAATATCTAAATCGATTAAGAAAGAAGAAAAGAAAGAAAAAGCATTTATTTGACAGTAGGCACGCACACAGATACAAAAAAATATTTATACACTATTTCGATCTGCCATCAGCTGTTCAGCCATAATCAGTTGTTATGTCTTGCTTTAGTTTTTCAGAAGGTATTTCAATAAATAGGGATGATGACAGGGTATGAAAAATAGTT